TACGATATCACTCTGATTATTAAAAAAAATATCTGAAACTGACGTTATCAAGATGCTTGATTTTTTTATTGACCACGGTTGGAGGGCGTGGTTTTCAACAAAAAATTGGCATTCCTATTAAACTAACTGTGCGCCTCTTCTTAACGACTTGTTCCTTTATTCAAATGAGGCTGACTTCATACAGGAACTTCTTAGGAAGATAAAAAGAAGTTAACAGTATCATTTAACATTACTTTTCTATATGGATAATGTTCTCTCACTAAATCATTCAAAATTCGATGACTATGTAGAACGCATCTATCTCATTGAACTTGAGATAAAGGATATAACCGATATAGTTGATTTATCCCCGGGTTTGTATTCACATGAACAACACGACGGGTGCCACATGTGGAACAGAATCTGCTTACTCTTTCTGAGCACCTGATATAAATGAATATAAAAAATTAGCAGATTCTGCTCCACATGTGGCACCCGTCGTGTTGTTCATATGAATAAAAACCCGGTGATAAGTCTAATTCGGTAGGTCACATTCGAGGAAAAGAGGGCGAGATTGTGGTTACAACAATTTGAACATATCCGTTGTCATCTGTGAAACAGACATTCCATAACGGCCAACCAACTCGTGATGATGACCGTACAATTTTCTGTTTTAATTGTTCCAACTGTTTTAGTTTGATCAACTGCTTACCCTTCCTGAGCACTTGATATAAATGAATTTAAAAAATAAGGAGATTTCGTATAATTGCCAGTCAGACACTGACATTTCTGCCTTTGAATACATACTTATTCCAATTGCTACAATACTTGATATTTATTGATACCAGTTGAAGTTTTTGATAGAAAACTATGTCTACACATCAGAAATATACTTTGACAGGTTGTAGTAGCTAATCAAAACTAAAACAAAGTTTATTTAATCAGATGTTAAATATACTAAATTGGTATACCTTGATATTTAGTATGAGGAACCACAGAAAAAAGAGAAGCCACCAAGGGGACAATCAAGTACTGCAATTTGTAGAATATATGATCCCATTGTTTTGTATGAAGACATGCTTCCCCACAGAATAAGAATGTAACCTTGTTACGTATTATTCGATTTATCAATCATGCAATAACAGTGTATATAAAGTGCGAATCCAGATAGTTCATTTTCACTGCGAGTATTACTATTGTAGAATAAAGGATGATGGGGAAAACTGTGTTTGTTTACGTTTTGAAAATACAAAATAAATGATTTGAATTTATTTTTTAACACAATTTCATTAGAAAATGACTTAACAATGTACATTATATGATTAAAGTCCAAAAATATATAATTAAAGCAACAGAATCTAGAATAATTTATTGAAAGCGATTCATTTTGACATTTGGTGCGATGCATTATCACTGTAAGTGCGATCATTTCTGATGTGGAATTTTATTAGGTGCGATGGATTTTCATTGTGGTTTTATGTGATAATTGGACATGCAAAACTGACAATATTCATTTGGTGAATTAAATATTGATGATATTTACAATTTAAAAATCCAAACTTATCGTACATGCTTAACCACCGTACAGTTGATTGCGTACGTTGTGCTTTTTTAAGCGATAAAGAACAAGCTGAGAGAAGCCGATATATGATATCAAAAATATTCTGATTTATGTACACAGTTTGTATACAAACATATATTATACACGTTGTATGCATGTTAAGTCATCAACGTTAATCAAAGAATTAGAATTTTAACTCGAACTGTACTTACTGAATGATAAACGCACGTATGTTTACAAACCTTGGTCACAAAAACTCGCTTAGAAATGCTTCAAAAATGCAAACTTTAAATACCTTTGAATAGCAACTGATATATAGTCAGGTTAGTGAGCGTATCTTCCTCCAGAATATAACCCACATACATGTACCTAGTTCATTGTAATTATTATGATTTTCTAAAAAAAATCAGTTTATGAAATTGTTTATTCTGTACCGTTGGTTGCGCGTTTTCGTAACAGTACTGTACCCTTCGAGAAGAAAATATTTTGTCTCCTTTGAAATACCCATCTTATATTTTTTTGTTACGAGTCGTCGACTTAACTATTTGACATTTTTCATATTGAAAATTAAAGCACCTGAATTTTGTGTATGTTTAATGTTGGACCAAGTAGAGGCCACTTATCGGAAGCACCTGATTGCAATCCAGTTACTGAGAGATTTCGCAAAAGTAACTCTAAAAATCTAGTATTTTGATCTTGAGGTAAAGGTCACACGAAGGTCATGATAATATGCGACACTTCGTCCTGAGTTTGCTATTAATTAGTGTATCAGGGATTCGAAAATATTCGGGAGTAGAAAATCCATGAGTGCAACGCATTTTTACGGCGAATTTTCCTTAAAAAGTTGAAGTACTTTATTAAACAAGCTTTGAAAATTTGTCAATCTGTATTATTATGTTATATACATTATGTTTACCATATCGATCGGCTTTGAGTTGTCAAAATGCACAACAAACAGTACAAGGATTTGCAATGAAAGGTACTAAACAAAAACACTAAAAACACAACGAAGCATGACGAAATTTGGAGGTCTCTAAACATGTATAAATGAAATATAACAACGGGTTTCACATTCGTTGTGCCTATTTCAAAAAGACGTGTGTATAAATTACTTGTAAACATCGCGAAACAAAGATTCTAAATGTGACCGTGTGTTTAATGATTTTTGTTGTTTAAATTAATAATGGGTGTTCATATTTTATAAAAATAAAAAATGCTGTCAGGAAGCAGTAAACTTTGTTTTCCTATTAACAAGTTATACCATAAGTCTTTGAGGAAGAATATTTGAACGTTTTATCTACCAACTTCGCTTCGCGACACAGTAACGTCCGAAATCAACTGTACGGTGGAGATACCAGTGACATAGAATCATTAAAACTTTGTAACAATAAACTGTTCTCAATATGTCATTGTAATTTCAAAATTGCGTATTCTTTTTATGTCCAAGATATAAGCACTGATGAAGTTGCATTGTTACGTGATGTATAGCTCCTTAGATTTAAACATAAACTGAAGTGAAAACGTAACCAGTCACTCAAGTGTAAAATGTAGGTCGTTGTGTGAACGCTCTTCATTATCTAAGATGCATTCATTAATGACGTTTCATTAGTATGTGATGTATAGTACACTAGATATACTAAGTAGACCGAAACTCAAAACTTCAGCATAGTTTTCGGTGGCCGTTAATTTGCTTAACTGTGCAAGGTATATGTATTCAATCATGAAATATCAATGGAATGGATATATTTAACCCTTCATGTATATCCTGATGAATTATTAAAAAAATAGAATTGAATTCTTTTAGCGATAAATGCTCTTATTTTTACGGAATTCATATTTGTAATTCTTTAGACTTTCACTCACTACGTAATCATTATCAAATCATTATGACTTCATCTAGTTTTGTCAGTGAGTCAGCTGAACTAACACTCTATTTGATGAAAATGATAAAGATTCCTACAGTGAAAATGGACGCATATACAATAGAAATGAATCGCCCCTACAGTGAAAATGAAAGTATTGTATCATTATTCAACAGGAAACATGAATCGCATAACGAAAGCAGCATAGTGGAATTCAACTCAATATCAGCAAACTGAATAACAAAACCCGTTTAAAGTTTTGCAACATTTATGATTATGTCAAAAGGTATATTTTTCTGAAAATAAAACTTTACTGCTGCTTTTAAATATCATGCACGCTCTGTTCGTGAAATATTCTTAATATTTACTTTTTTGTGTAACGATTTCACACCTTGATCGCTGTATGTGCTATATAAACCCATCTGCATCTCTTACCTATATCACAAGTTTATTAAAACAATCCATTTGATATATTATTTATTATTTTACTCCAAAATCATAAAGTTTTCGTCTGTTTATTTATCATTAGAAATTTATGGCATTTACAGTGAAAATGGTATTTCAGGATCCGCACTTTATATACACTGCAATAAGAAACAAAAAGGATTGACACGAATAAAGACTTCGCATATTTTATTATCTTATTTCACTAAATGATGGTTACACAGTATGAAATTGAAAAAAAAGGTTCTCTTCATACTGCTTTTTCGTTAAGATAATTGACTCAAAATTGATACGAAAATGAGGTGACCTTTACAGAATAGTCTACTTGCCAAGTATTTAATTGACCGTGTAATTAGATATCCATTTGTGCGAGTTTTTTTCCCGTAGTAGGGACATACATTTTCATTGAAAATGAGGAGCTAGGGGGGAAAAAGCATATTTATTCTTGTGTAATGTGTTTAATCTTTAATTTTTTATTTCAAATATTTTGGTTACATTTAATCTTTTGTTTAGGTAAAGACTTATAATTTTTTTCATTATGAATTGATTAAAACGCCGATCATGCTCTGCATGGGCAGGAGAACATTTTGTCCGGTTTAAAACCAGTCAACAATTGGCAAAGGGGAACAACTTAAAATAAAAGTGGGATAAAATCGGTTGTTGGCAGACAGACTATTGTCATAATGCATTATATGTGACTCATTTCACAAAAAAATCTTACTAGAAAAAATACTCGTAAGTCATGAACATTTCAGTATAACTTACGATCAAGTTTTGATATAACTTTTTATTCTTAAGAAAAAAAATGTTAGGCTTTCCTTCGTAAATTACCTTTTGTATGATTTTAAGGTGGAGTAGTACTAAGTTACTTGTCATATTTAAGAAAACATTATCACCAACGTTAACCTTTGTGCATCTGAGACATGCTTAACATGTTAATTGGACCATTTGTGCATGTTATGTGTTCTGGCTGTCGACCGATGACCTGGGACATATTATTAATTTTCCTATAAAGCAAAGAACAGTTACATCATAACATGGAAAAAAAGAAGACATGAGGATAATTTTAATTGCATATTGTATTAATACATACGCGTTCTCATAAAGTATAAATATATATGATACCGGTATGGTGTATGCATATTAACTAATATATCCATTCGGAAGAAACTTTTGTTTGTGTTCTCATGTAGACAGAAATTACAACTTAACTTGTTATGAACCATGGATAACATGTAATGGGATGATATCATATCATTAAGGTAGGTTAAACATATAGTTATTTCAGGTTAGTACTTGGATGGGTGACCGCCTGGGAATACCGGGTGTTGTAGACATTTTCTTCTTTTATTTTTTTACTTATAATTTTTCACTTGTTAATTTTTTTTTTTATTGGGGGGGGGGGGGGGGGGGGGGGGGGGGGGGGGGGGGGGGGGGGGGGGGGTCGTGATGCTCTATTTAGTTTATTGTGATGTGATTTAGTATTGTAATTTGTCTGTGTTGTCTGTTTTAGTGCACTTTATTTTACTTCATTGATATCATCTCTGTCATTTTATTTAGTTAGTTAGTACTGTATCTGAATATTGCTTCCACTATTTGAGGAAAACGTTATATATAACTTTAAAGAAATTGATAATATTTATAGTTGTATTTCAATGACTTGACTTTGTGTATCAAAGAACGTATAACTTTGAAATCAAGTAACATATCTTGTTTTCCTACTGAATGTCGGTGGTTCTCTCCGGGTACTCCGGCTTCCTCCACCAATAAAAACTGACCGCCACGACATAGCACAACAGTGATGAAAGCGGCATTAAAACCATTCAATCAATCATATCTTGATATGAAACAATATCATTTAAATTGATCAATTTTACCCCATTTTCGCAAATGGTAGAAAGAAAACACCGGTAAAGTATTGCTGGTAATGTTGATAGCTTTTCACTTAATTCTACAATTTTATTACATAATATAATAAGAAATTACAATGTCGGCTATCTGTAGACATTTGTAATCTACCTCATTGCTAGGATTGCACACATTTTTTTTTTATTTCAGATGAGCAATTCTGATATGACGTGTACATTATGTTCAAAGAGAGACATATCTAATGCTGCAATCGTTTTGTGTGCCGTTTGTGAGGAAAGATTTTGCCTGTCGTGTAATGAAGTACACAAATACTTAAAGACCAGCAGCAGCCACGAAGTCACAGCATTAGATGTGTATACACATTTACCAACATTTATTTCGTCTTTGAAGCAGACATGTGACAGTCATGAGGAACATTTCAAGTTGTATTGTCCTACTCACAGGGAGCCATGTTGTTACAAGTGTACAACAACAAAGCACAAGACATGTCATGGATTCCAAACGCTTGACAGTTTAATTGAACACTCCGCAACACAGTTTCTAGATTTAGAATGTACGATTGATGAATTAAGCATTAACATTGAAAAAGTCTTCAACAATCGAAAAGGAGCATTGAAAACTTTAGATGATAAAATTTTGAATATAGCAACGAACATTAAGACGACAGCAGAGAAAATAAGAGAAAAACTTGACAGCAACGAAAAGAGTATCCTCCATCAACTGTCGGTTGTTCATTCAAGGTACAAGGCCAATTTTGAAAATATGGTTGGTGAACTGCAGGCAAAAAAGGTGGAAATAAAATTGATACAGAAAAATATTGAAGAAATGAGAGAATTCGCTTCAGACTATCTAATTTTTCTTGGTTCTCATAAAATCAATTCAAAACTTGAAAAAGAAAGGAACAGTTTATGCAGATATTTTGAAAATGATCACAAATTACGACAGAAAAATGTATCTTTAAAATTTACGCCAGGGCAAGTATTAAATCAGGACAGATTTCTAGGAACGTTAGAAGTTGAGGAGGTCGATTGTGAAATTCCCTTTGCCAAAAATGCGAGTTTGGAGACAGAGCTTCCGCTGGATGTATTTCATGACATTGATTCCATTCAAATTCGAACAAATTCGCAATCTAAGATAAAAGAAGGTTCTGCGACTAGAAATCTAGCAGGTTGCACATTCCTAGAAAATGACCAAATGTTGTTAACTGACTGGAGTGAGAACAAGGAGCTCTTAGTTTTTGATGAACATGGGAACATCTTGAGAAATATCGTTCTGGATAAAAGAGCATTTGATGTAGTTTACATTGGTAATGGCTGTATTGCGATGACATTTCCAGACACGAAACAAGTTGCTGTTTTGAATATGAAATCGAAACAGGAGAAAATTCACGTTACGTTCGAAAATCGAGTCTGGGGTATCACATATTCCGAGAATAAATTATTTGTTCGAGAATATTCCGTAGGGATTCATTGTCTAGATCTAACCGGTACCATTCACAAAACAATACCGGTACATGGTTATATCACTCATATAACTAGTCTAGGTAGAAAACTGTATTACACGGAACACACTCCTGATGTTGTACATTGTTGTGATTTTAACGGAACAGAATTGTGGCATTTGCCACTGGTTGGTCATGGAGCACCAAAAGGAATCGCAGTTGGAAAATATGGTTTTCTATTCGTTGTTTTAGAAAATGAAAGAAAACTTTTAGTTGTTTCACCAGACGGAACACATCATAGGGAACTATTGAATGAAGAAAACGGCCTACACGAACCACATGCAATCAACTATGACATGAAAAGAAACAAGTTACTCTTAGTAAAAGACAAAACTAGGATGGCAGAGATATATGATGTCTTGTATTGATTTCAACAAATTTTCATTCTAAGGGGTCTTTCCTGATAATATATTGAAATGTCAATAACGATAAGGACGAAAAAGGATCAAATTAATAAATTCATGACTTGATATACGTACACTAAACCAGAGCAGACTGTCTTATGATTTAGTAATCATTGTTGATTATTATTGTTTAAAATTGATTATAATGATAAACTCATCATAGATACCAAGATTAAAATTGTGTACGCCAGACGCGATTTTCGTCTACAAAAGACTCATCAGTGACGCTCGAATCAAAAAATTTTAAAAGGCCAAATAAAGTACGAAGTTGAACAGCATTGAAGACCCAAAGTTTCGAAAGGTTTTATCAAAAACAGCTAAGGTAATCTATTCCTGGGGTAGAAAATCCTTAGTATTTCGAAAAATTCAAAGTTTTCTAAACAGTTAATTTATTATTATGACCATATCAATGATAATCCCTAAAGTTTCCACGTATTTATACATCCATAGAGTCCCAATATTTAAGTTCCTGATGAAGGTAGTCTCAAAAGCGCTTCGGACGCACGAAAAATGTGTTATTTTCATTTACTAGCACAGCTTCGATACCACTGCTGATGGTGGTGGACTGTTTTGGCCAAAGACTATCATCAGCTCAGTAGTGAGTGCATTGGTTGTTACTTAATCTATAACAAAATTTCTTAAATTCTCTGTTGATAAATTTGTAGTAAAAAACTATTTGACCTTAAATTAATTTGGCTATTCTTTCTATATCCCCTTTGCCTCTATAATTTCAACGTATTTGTACATTCCTGGCATTCAATGTCTTAGGTTAAAGCGTTCCTGATAAATTTTAATCCCGAAAATCGTCTCGGACGCAAGAAATTCGAAAAGTGTTATTTTTAATTTGACATCCTCAACATACCGAGGATTTATTTTTCGTTTCGTTTCGTTTCCATTGACAAACAATTGATTAATAAAAATAACACCGTTTTAATTTCGTGCGTTAATAATATAACATAAATATGGTCAACAACATAGGTATATCATACAAAGCTCTAAAAGTACAAAATGGTGTAAAATTTCACTTTCACCAAACACAGTAAACCAAGATCATTCCCCAAACATCATAAACAATACTCAATTAAACAATACGCCATACCCTTCATAACATTCTGTAGTAGAGAACCTATTCGAAGTAGTGGATTCGCAAACGATCGTAAACGAGCGACGGTAGTCACGAGTTGATCACCTTTTCCGTATCCACTACTAATTTATAAATTCTCTTGCTTAACTCATTTCTTGTAAAACGACCGTCTATTTAAATTTTGAACATAAATCAATGGAATAACTTAAGAAAATTTCCTTGTTTATAAAAATAAGGAGATTTGGTATAATTGGCAAGGAGACAACTATCCACCAAAGTTCAAATGAATTGGATTTGAGCAATTATAGGCAACCGTACGGTCTTCATAAATGAGAAAAACCCATACCGTATAGTCGGCTATAAACGGCCCCCGACATGAAAAATGTGAAAAAAACCAATTGAGAAAACTAACGGCCTAATTTATAACAAAACAATTTACGAAAAACAAATCTGACACGCATGAACCAACGACGACATTGTCTTTTATTCATTGATGCTCAAAAATGATTGTATGCATACGGTTCACATGTATATTTAGATATCGTACAACTAAAGTAAGTTAAACATTACTTAAAATTTATAACAAATTGATTCTGTTGAAAGTGTGTACTAAGAGGTTTTACTACAAGTACTACATAAACTTAACACTATCAATGATCAATGTAAATGAGGTTAAGGTCTGATGAACCCTGCCAGACAGATCAAAACACCTTACAATCATATCATGCACCAAATATAGTTAGCTTAACATTGACCAATAAACAATTAAAATGAGGTCAAGGTTAGAGGAACCCTACCAAACAACATGCACACCATGCAATCATTCTATACACCAAACATAGTTGACATATTGCTTAAAGTATATTAAAAATAAACGTTACCATGAAAACTTAACATTGACTAATGAACCATGAAAATGAACTCAAGGTCAGATGAACCATGCCAGACAGACGTTTACACCTTACAATAATTCCATACACCGTGGCCCTATTGCTTATAGTTTCTGACAAAAGACCAAATCAGAATGAAATGCTCCGCTGGGCGCAGCTTGATACGACCGCAGAGGTCGAATCCTGAACGAACAGATGGGGCAAGTATGGACACAACATTCAAGCTTGATACAGCTCTGAATTTGGATTGTGATTAAATATTTGACACAGCATAGGTTTCTGACACAGAATGAATGTGGTCTATGAACTTAAAAAAATTTAATTTACCTATTATGGTCCAATATCCAAAATCTAAATACATACACGGTTAGATTCAGCATATCAAAAAACCCCAAGAATTCAATTTTTGTTAAAATCAAACTAAGTTTAATTTTGGACCCTTTGGACCTTAATGTAGACCAATTTAAAAACGGGACCAAAAATTAAGAATCTAAATACACGGTTAGATTCAGCATATCAAAGAACCCCAATTTTTCAATTTTTGATGAAATCAAACCATATCATTATTATTTGCCTTTATATATAAATCAAAAATAACCAACTTAAAATGGAAAATTTTAAAGAAAAAAAAAAGGGAAAAAAAGGAAAAAAAATTCCCCCCCAATTTGTTGAACACCCTTATGATTCATCACCCCCAAACTCAATCCCAGCCTTCCCTTTGTGGTATGGTACCTTGCAGTACAATTTCAGAGAGATCCATACACTTGAACACAAGTTATTGTCTGGAAACTGTAAAAAATGCTCAAACCCAGCTTTCCCTTTGTGATATGGAACCTTGTAGTACAATTTCATAAAGATCCATACACTTACACACAAGTTATTGTCCTTAAACTAGAAAAATGCTTGTTTTTTCCTCTTTGTGGCCTCTAATTCCTAAAATTTTGAGGCAATTACCCCCAAAAATCAATCCCAGCCTTCCCTTTGTGGTATGGTACATTGCAGTACAATTTCAGAGAGATCCATACACTTGAACACAAGTTATTGTCTGGAAACTAGAGAAATGCTTATTTTCGGCCCCTTATTCCTAAACGTTTTGTGCAATTACCTTCAAACTCAATTCCAGCTTTCCCTTTGTGATATGGAACCTTGTAGTTTAATTTCAGAAAGATCCATATACTTACACACAAGTTATTGTCCTGAAACTAGAAAAATGCTTGGTTTTTTTCCCTTTTTGGCCCCTAATTCCTTAATTCCTTAAATTTTGAGGCAATTACCCCCAAAATCAATCCCATTCTTTCCTTTGTGGTATGGTACCTTGCAGTACAATTTCAGAGAGATCCATAGACTTGAACACAAGTTATTGTCAGGAAATTAGAAAAATGCTTATTTTTGGCCCCTTTTCGGCCCCTTATTCCTAAACGTTTTGTGCAATTAACTTCAAACTCAATTCCAGCTTTCCTTTGTGATATGGAACCTTGCAGTACAATTTCAGAAAGATCCATACACTTACACACAATTTATTGTCATGAAACTAGAAAAATGCTTGTTTTTTGCCCTTTTTTTGGCCCCTAATTCCTAAAATTTTGAGGCAATTACCCCAAAATCAATCCCATTCTTTCCTTTGTGATATGGAACCTTGTGGTACAATGTCAGAGAGATACATACACTAACACACAAGTTATTGTCTGGAAGTTACAAAAATGCTTATTTTTGGCCCCTTTTTTTACCCCTTATTCCTTAAATGTTGGTACCATAACCCCCAAAATCAATCCCAACCTTCCTTTTGTGGTATCAAACCTTATGGTAAAATTTCATAGAGATCCATTCACTTAAACTAAAGTTATTGTGCGAAAACCAGGGTGTCTTCGGACGACGACGACGAAGCCAACGTCATACCGATATACGACCGCAAAATATGTTTGCGTCCGTATAAAAATGAACATTGATCAATGCACCATGAAGATGAGGTCAAGGTCAGATGCAACTGCCAGACGGAAATGTACACTTTATAATCATTCTGTACACAAAATATTATAGATGACATATTGCTTGCAGTATTTGAGATACGGACTTGACCACTTAACCTTGATCACTGATCCTTGAAATGAGGTCGAGGTCAGGTGAACCCTGTCTAACTGACATGTACACCTTGCAAGCAACATATATACCAAATATAGTTATCCTACTACTTTAATAGTAAGAGTATTTCACATGACATGGGTCCTATGTCTCTCATTTTTCTATTTTCGTCGACGGTGAGGAAAAAAAAACGGACGTGATAACGAAAATTAACATTGATTAATGAACCATTAAATGAGGTCAAGATCAGATAAGCCATGCCAGTTAGACGTGATGGAAACTTTATAACATAAGGCACCTTTTACAAGGTTTGTGGCATGCAGGTCTTCTACCTTCTAAAATAGAAAGCTTTATACAAATAGTCTAAGCCATAGTATCCAAATGTCTTTCGTTGTGCCGTCGCTGGCGAGACAAACATCATGATATGCCAATATCTCATCCATAATCCTCCCCATCTACCTGCCCAGGCGAGACAAACATCATGATATGCCGATATCTCATCCATAATCCTCCCCATCTACCTGCCCAGGCGAGACAAACATCATGATATTCCGATATCTCATCCATAATCCTCCCCATCTACCTGCCCAGGCGAGACAAACATCATGATATGCCAACATCTCATCCATAATCCTCACCATCTACCTGCCCAGGCGAGACAAACATCTCATCCATAATCCTCCCAATCTACCTTCCCAGGCGAGACAAACATCATGATATGATAATATCTCATCCATAATCCTCCTTTATCTAATATCTATACAATTTAAATTAATACTTCTTTGTATAATAAACGAATGGTCAATAATCATTGCACAATAGACATATAAAGAATTCATACTATAATTCACCACAAAAAAACTGAAGTATTACCGGTATATTAAATTATCTTACCTCCTATAGATTTATAGAGATATGATTGGTTAAAGGACTACACGTGGTGACTATGTATATTTGATATAGGGTGTCCTAAAAAATATAGGATTAGCAACCATACATGGTTAGTTACCATATGGGGTTAGTAAAGAGTTACTTCCCTTTCAAAACAAAAATGATGCCACAACCCTTCATAAAAACAACACGGTGTTGAGGAAAAATCTGAAAGGATTCAACAGAC